CCCCCCCCCCCAGTACATGATTTCTATCATGTGACAATATATATAATGATTAAAAATCATAATTTTAAAGATATAGATATCATATATGAAATGAAATATAGAAAAGAAAAATATTTCTTACGAATGTAAAAATTAGGTGTGATTGAGAGCCTCAGACAATTGATGAGTTTTTGAATTGCTCTCAATAAGTTTAACTCAACTTCAAAAATAGTACTATTCATCACTAATTATCATTACATATAAAAAAATATAAAAAATAAATCCGTATATATTTCAAATTCTAAGGAATGATATTTTACCAAATCGATAATAACAAACTTATATTTAAATAATATTTCATTTGAATTCACAATGAATTTCTCTTCAATATAATTTCGATCGGATAAAATATTTATTGGTCTGAGTGATTGAAACACTATATATACATATAGGATATCTGAAATATAAAATGAATAATTCAGTAAATGATAAGTTAGGAAACCCCATGAAAATCGAGATTGCGGAAATTAGACTACAGAGTTGACAATTGTACATAACTTTGAAAATGTTGGAAAATTTTACAAACAGGGAAAAGTGGTATAAAACACAATTTTCATTGAAAAAAAAAAATTACGGCCAATCAAAACAATTTCCCATCACTAGCAAAATCTGACTGAAGTCGACAGTAACTACTATCGGTGTCAAAAGTAGAGACTACTCGAAATAAACCTCTATAACTCGATGAAAAAAAATCATAAAAATATGAGACCAATTGCACTGTGTAATATAAGTGTTTCACTCACCGAATACGAAGTTTCAAGTTTTTAATTTGATTATTTAATTTATAATCGCTGTGAGCAGCCGAACCCNGAGACCAATTGTACTGTGTAATATAAGTATTTCACTCGCCCAATACGAAGTTTCAAGTTTTTAATTTGATTAGTTTATTTATAATCGCTGTTAGAAGCCGAAAAACCCCCCCATTTTCAGGGTCCGTAAAAGTCGGCGAACTTTTCACCGTTACCGAACATACGAAATTTTTTTTTTTAAATCGTCAATTTTTTCAGAGATTCGTTGAACCCCTGGGAAGCCAACGAGAGAAGAAAAAACTCGATGTTGTGATAATTATTTATTTAATTAATAGAAATGTCGACTGCGGCTATCTCGTTGTAGAATTACCGAAACAACCTGGAAAAAAATGCATTCTGAATTCAATGTAAAACATATTCGGTCAATATTTTTTTAATGAACAATCTCATTCATCAACAAAGATAGTGATAAATAAAAGAGATTACAAAACGTCCTATTTTCCCCCAATCTCCGCGACATATTGTACAATTTTGGGACTCTGGATCAATAGCACTTCAATCAGAAGGGTCACAATCCTCAGTCAGAAGGGTCACAATATTCCAACTTGAATAAGTTGAAAATTCTCCCCCTCCCCCAAACCGCGCACTGCCTTTTCCAGATAAGCTGTGCGATCGGAACGGTCAGTGGTTTCCCCCCCACCACAACTCCATCTTAAAACAAGCCATTAGGGTCAAATTAGGCGCTACGATCATCCATTAATTTTCCAAAATGAGCCATCGGATGAAATTTTTCAACTGGTACTTGATTCTTTCATATATTTTTTTTACCGGTGGCTTGGCGCAGTGGGTAAGTTCGTTGCCTCACATGTGAAAGCTTCCGAATTCAAATCCCGACCGAGTAGAATGGTGCGATCTAACCATTTTAAAGTTTGATCATCATCGCAGTATATCCTAACTGGGTCGAAGCGATGGAAAATGACGTTAAAACAAATATATATATTTTTTTACAATCATAATTAGGGTTAAAAGGGTGTGTAGTTTTCAAGACATAGATGGAGACTTGAAAATCCTTCCCTCACCTACTTCTGCCATACACCCAATTTCTAAAATGAACAGGTAAAGTCAGAGAAATCGATGGTTTTTGAGACGCAACCCCCC